ACCAGGAATACTGTCCTGCTGACTTTTCTTGGTTTCAGTTTAAAAAGGCACTCCCCAAAGGACAAGTGCAACATATCCCTGGCGTGCTGGACTCGTTTGTCCCACCCAAGGGGTCTTGGCTGGCAGGAAACAAGGCCTGGTTGGCAGAAAAAATTCTACCCAGGGCTCCCTCATGTGTACATGTGAATTAATTTTTCTTCTTTTCCTACTTTGCACTCTTTCAGTCTCCTCAGAATCCCTTCCACAAATGCACATGATTCATTCTGTGACACCCAGAGCTGACCATGCCTTTCAAAAGAAGTTCAGAAAGATCAGGCCTGGGGGAGGAGGAACTTCTTACTCTTCCTATTTATTTATTTACTTATTTTTCGAGACAGAGTCTCACTCTGTTGCCCAGGCTGGAGTGCAGTGGCGCAATCTCAGCTCACTGCAACTTCCACCTCCCGGATTCAAGCAATTCTTGTGCCTCAGCCACCCGAGTAGCTGGGATGACAGTTGCGTGCCACCATGCCTGGCTAATTTTTTGTATTTTTAATAGAGACGGGGTTTCGCCATGTTGGCCAGGCTGGTCTTGAACTCCTGACCTCAAGTAATCCACCTGCCTCAGTCTCCCAAAGTGCTGGGAATACAGGCATGAGCCACCACACCTGGCCCTTACTACTCCTCTTAATGGGCACAGTGGAGATCTACCCATGACCAAGGGCCCCAGGAAGTCTCTGAATCACTTGAACCTGGGAGGCGGAGGTTGCAGTTAGCCAAGACTGCGCCACTGCACTCCAGCCTGGGCAACAGAGTGAAACTCGGTCTTAAAAAAAAAAAAGGAGAAACCACATGTAGGGAGCTGGGTGCTGCCTGTCTGCCCAGCAACATCAGAGCAGACACAGACACTAACAAAAGCAGACACGCAATAGCAGGTTGGAAGTTATCTACAGGACCCACCTTTGCTTCTGCTGTGAGCTGAACCACCCACCCTTGCCTTCCCCTACTCACTTAGTCTTGATTTCTAAGTCATCGTGGCTTGAGTGGCACATTTCACTGAATCGGGACACAAAGAAGTCATAGCTCCGGTGATAGGATGGGGTGTCCTCCTCGATGTTGGCAAACTTCACAAACTATCAGGGAGGAAGGAGAGAAATACACGAGAGAGGTGACCCACTGTGCTCCTCACTGCTGGGCATCCCCAGACCCCCTGCCATGGTCAAGTCATGGGAACCACGCATCCCGGAGCCAGCTCGGCCGGCCTCGCAGAGCACACTGGGGAAATGAGTTCCCAATCCTGCTCACCTCTCCCGTTGCACAACAAGATTGGAAACCATGGCCCTTCTCAGGCCTACCCTGCTGTGGGAGCAGAGGACGGAAGAGAAGGGAACATGAAGGGGTTCACGGAAGCACCTGCCCTCACCCCTCCACCCAGAACTGCGCAAACACACCGGGGTAGGGAGGCTGTTAGGAATAACATGGAACCTGAGTGAAAGCCAGCGATGAAGCAGCAGCACCACCCTCAATGAATTCGAGGACACAAGAACAAATCTAAAATTTGACTTAAAAATGTAATTACACTTTATTGTTAGAAATTGGAATTTGGTCAGGTGCAGTGGCTCATGTCTGTAATCCCAGCACTTTGGGAGGCTGAGGTGGGTGGATCATTTGAGGTCAGGAGTTCAAGACCAGCTGGCCAACATGGTGAGACCCTGTCTCTACTAAAAATACAAAATTACCCAGGCACGGTGGCAGGTGCCTGTAGTCCCAGCTACTTTGGGAGGCTGAGGCAAGAGAATCACTTGAACCTGGGAGGTGGAGGTTGTAGTGAGCCGAGATCGCACCACTGCACTCTAGCCTGGGCGATAGAGCGAGACTCCATCTCAGACAAAAACAAACAAAAACAACAACAACAACAAAAATGGAGTCCGTTTTTTGAGTTTGCCATTTCAGTTCAGTAGGTCTTGATAGGCATCCTGGGCAGCTAGGTTCCTTCTGCACCAGGATGCTGCACATTTGCAATTCTAAATAGGGACTTAATTTCAACTGAGTCCTGCAGAGAAGCAACAATCATGAACTAAATGAAGTTAAATTACTAAATATTTAATATGATTCTTATGGGGCTTTTGTTGTTGTTGTTGTTGTTGCTGTTTTTGAGACGGAGTCTTGCTCTGTCGCCAGACTGGAATGCCGTGGCGCGATCTCGGCTCACTACAACCTCTACCTCCCGGGTTCAAGTGATTCTCTTGCCTCAGTCTCCC